GAGACGTGCTAAGAGAGTGTTCACTGTAAGCGAAGATGGCATTGGGCCATGGCTTGTCACCTTCACAAATTGTCTTGGTAAACTAGCTTGATTTTCCTGTCTGCTACTGACGCAAACATCCTGAAACAAAATAAAAACATGTTCCAGCTCTTGGTGTTAGCCTCCAGATCTAAGAGCTAGTTTTCCTAACTCTGTATACTTCATTGAAAGGAATGGTAGATTAATTAGACAAACTCTGAGATACTTCCTGCTGCATACAGGTGCAAATATATTGTTATGCAGCAGTGTATACCTGTGAACATTTCCTAAACCCCACTAAATACATTTCTTTGGATTTTAATATGAAGAGGCAGCTAAGCACAGGGAGAAAAACTGGGTGGCTCTTGGAAATCAGAGTGTTGAAAAGGAGATTAGTACATACTTGTGCAGAAGGAACACTTTGAATTTAGAATTTGTTAATAATTTTTATTTTAAAAAATGTAATTTTCATTCCATAATTCTGAAAGAGTGAGCATATCATGATGCAAACCCATGGCAAGAGTATGTAATGTGTTTACTGAGGACCACGTGGTCCTGTATAGTTTGGAGAGGGGCAATGTGGTATCCTATTGCATTCTAAATAGGAAGAGTCATCTTCATAACATCAGAGCCACTAGGGCAACTTCAGCAGTATAGAATCATAGAATCATAGAAAGGTTTGGGTTGGAAGGGATCTCAAAGATCATCCAGTTCCAACCCCCTGCCATGGGCAGGGAAACCCTCCACTACACCAGGTTGCCCAAAGCCTCATCCAACCTGGCCTTGAACACTGCCAGGGATGGGGCATCCACAACCTCTCTGGGCAACCTGTTCTAGTACCTCACCACCCTCAATGTAAAAAACTTCCTCCTTAGATCTAATCTAAATCTCCCCTCTTTCAGTTTAAAGCCATTGCCCCTTGTCCTATCACTACACACCCTTGGAAAAAGTCCCTCTCCAGCTTTCCTGTAGGCCCCCTTTAGGTACTGGAAAGCTGCTATAAGATCCCCCCGGAGCCTTCTCTTCTCCAGGCTGAACAGCCCCAACTCTCTCAGCCTGTCTCCATAGCAGAGGTGCTCCAGCCCTCGCATCATCTTCGTGGCCTCCTCTGGACTCGTTCTAGTAGCTCCATGTCCTTCTTGTGTTGGGGACTCCAGAGCTGAACACAGTATTCCAGGTGGGGTCTCTCAAGAGCTGAGCAGAGGGGCAGAATCACTTCCCTCGACCTGCTGGCCACACTTCTTTTGATTTCTACCATCAGAACTCACCAGCTGGAAATGATAGAGAAAGGAAAAACCTGAATCTATTAGATAATCACAGGAGTATAATCCAGTAGCGTGATGAAATTATGAGAGTCAAGCAAATTGTGGAAACATCAAATGAGGTTTCCTGGTATCACAGATGGTTGAGGTTGGAAGGGACCTCTGAAGGTTGTCTGGTCCAACCCCCTTGCTCAAGCAAGATCACCTAGAGCCGATTGCCCAGAAAAAATGTCCATATGGCTTTTGAATATCTCCAGGGATGGATATTCCACGACCTTAGTACAAATAGAGAGTACAGATAGGAAGGTATTGATGCAGGAAAACAGTAATGCCTGCCTTGGAAATTTGTATATAATTTGGATCACTTCTGTATAAGGAATCTAGAATTACTGAAGAGTTAAAATTATCAGGGAATGCTGAGCTGCCTTGTGAGAGAAAACAAAGTGATTAGTTTGTTTAGGCTTGTAGAAAGACATGAGAGATTTGGGTCTACAGATCCTACTTGCAGGATAGGATAAAGGCAAGCAAAAGAAGGAAATCAAACTCATTACTAATATCAGCACTAGAATAAAAGGAAGTGGACTAGCCTGAATGAATCTGGGCTGGAAATTAGAAGAAGGTTCGTAATTATGTGGAAATCAGGTTCAGAAGTTCATTTTTATTTAAAGATTAAAATTAAGAAGTTGAAGAGAAGGTTTTAGGTCACAATTGACCTGCAGCCACAGTGCCTGTTCTTACTACTCAGCTGATCCCTGTGTCCTCTCCCAGACTGCTTTCACAGCTGCTTCTCTGCTTGCCCGTGTACTCTGTTGGTGCATGCCGTGCTTCATCTCTGTGGTGTAATAATGAATGTATACACCATTCCCTTTATTGTTCCCTCTAACTGGTCTCTTTTCTGCAGGGTATGCCTGTCTTCGGCCTCACAGCCAATTCCCTCTCCTAAGCTAATCTGCAATTATTTCCATGCTGCACAATCTTCCTTGTATATGAACCACCTTGATCAAATAGCCCTGCATCTGTTGTCCTTCATTCTTTGGAATCAGTTTATTCCCCTGGGAGGTTTCTCTATTTCTCTTTCACCAGGCATTTTGTCTCTGAGCTTGCTTACAGTTATTTTTTATTCTGTCTCTAGCCTACTTGTCCGAACGTTTTCTCATTACTTGCTTATTCTCCCACATTGAAATCGGAAAGTTTTTTCCTTGCTGTATAGCTTGGGCTAATTAAAGCAAAAACTGAGGACATGGAGAGAAATACTTGTTTTGAGTTCTGCTTGAGCTGTTGAAAAGCTCTGAGTGTGCCAGGGCTCGTATCAGAACTGAATCCTTTGGGGATGGCAGGGTTACAGAACAGCCTGCAGGTGCACTCTCTTTTCTGAATGGCTGAGGACACTAAGAATCAATCATGGACCTGCTATCTGTGGTCTTGGCCTTGCTCTTCTGCTTTTCCTCCCAGTCCAGGTACCTGCTGATGGTGTTTTTCAGATAAATGATTAGAAGAGAGGAGGGATTGTATAGCCAGCCTCCAACTGCACAGAACTTCTCCAGTAAGCAATGAAACTCTGGCTGCCTTTGCCAAGATTTAGATATCTCACTGCTTGTATCCTGAGCCGTATGAGAAGGATGGTGACTGGGCAATCTGCTCTAGTGCATGTGAGTGACAGGCATAGAAATTTGACTATCTAAACATCTCTCTGTCACCTAAGATCTCTTGCTATTGCATAATCAGATGCTATATGCAACTGACTGGCATCGTGTTCTTACCAGTTTACTGGGAGTGGTAACCAGTGTCGTCCTGTTGGATATTACTGATGTGTGGAGATCCCAAGCACTGTAATACTACCAAAACCGCAGTTGGACATTTCAGCATTTATACCTGTTTTAAAGAATGACCACAATCTTGACTGAATTACAATGCACATAAATATTGCTTGAAATCACTGCCCTAATGGTCACCAAGCTGGGAGTTCAAGGCATAGGTAAACAAGATTGTCGACATTGCACCAAATGGCATCAGCCAAAACAAACACATTCTTTGCCTAATCTTCATCCTTTCTTATATCACAATCAGACCACCGCACTTACATACGATGTTCAATCTGTATCTTTGTTTTTTGAATTCTCTGTCCTAGATGTTTTCATTCCAGCCTTATCCAGAGCGTTATGCACCCTACAACTTTTCCCTGCTATGCTCTTAAGACTGCGTGTTTAGGTAACTGTCTTTTTGTGAGCTGTTTGCTTTGACCAATGCTTCTTCAAGTCCCACGCTACCTATGTTCTGCCTGTAGCCTGACATCTTTTTAGCATAGGCCTGAGACAAGAAGAAAAATTTCCCAAACATGGCATGTCTAGGATACTGCGTAGAGGGAATTTACACAGGGAATTTAGAGGGAATCGTTAAAGCTTACGTACACTTTCACGTGTATGTCTGATCCACCCTCTTCTCAGACTCCTAATTGATCAAATACAGTGTGGGGTGGGTACAAAGTACATGGTGATGCTAAGTCCTTGCTGTATCTCATGCCTCCATTCCAAAGCATGTGTGTAGTAAGTGTCTAAATGAAACATTACTATAACTCGGTGCAGTTTTTAGGAGAAAGGGACTAACAGAAGCAGCAACAGCAGCACAGCTGATTGTTTTGGCTGAAGTTCTTGCAAACAAACGCAGCCTGAGGCAGATGCTCAGTTCAGACCAAACGGTTTCCTGTGCAGTTATCCCACCAGTCCATAATTCCTTAAAGATAACTTTAATGCTACAGTGGCATCACTCATTTATAAAATACATAGCTGTGACCTGGTATTTTGTTGTTCTGGCCCAAACGAGAATAGCTTAATCAGTTTCTTATTTTTTTAAATTTTCTTTTTACTTCCTTTGCTTTCTCACAGTAAGGGTGAGGAAATTGATTTAATTTCTTTATTTTTTTAAGGTGAAGCAGAGAACATATTGGATACACAGAGCTCTTTGCTAGAATTACCAAAAGGACCACTCACTTATGAAGACCTGGAGAAAATCAGAAGATCTCAGAGCAAGTTCTTCATAGAAAAATAAGAAGATGGTAGTAAAGCTTTCAGTAAATATCTGAAATATGATTCTAATACTGGTTTTGGACATAAATAATTAAAATTGAGAAAATTATGAGCTTTTATAAAATCAAAATAGAATTCATTTTTTTAAAATCAGCACTTTCTAAAGCAATGATTTTCATATTATACATATCTCTTGAAAATATCCATTGTCGCTGTAGTATATTTTTCTTGTTTAGAATGAAATACTGAATTTCCACTGTCTATTTATTTCACCTGTAGTAAAAATGTCTAGTACTGACCAAACTCACTATAATCAACAAAAATAAGTTAATTGGTAGTTACAAATTTGTATAAATATAGTCATAATTTTCAAATATACTTGAGGATGCACAGCTCAATTTGAAGTCAGGAATAGACAGCCAACTTCTTTGAAAATAAGACACTTTATTTTGCTGTTTGTTAGGCAGTAAACTCACCATCTCTGCTTCAAATTCTGGAATAAACAGCTTTTATCAGAAGGAGGTTCAGAAGTAAACACGTCACTTGCTAACTGTGTTTTACTCTTAGGAAAAACTGTATTAAAGTGTGAGCAGAGATAATTTTTCAAAAAGAGAAAACAAATTATGTAGCTATTTCCTGAATCTTTTTCATGCTTGTTTGACATTCTGAAACTCAGGATAATTTGTTTACATGAAATCAGAGTTTCACTACTAAGATGAATATTAACTTAGGCTAACAGCAAGCAAAATTATTAATTTATGTTTTTGTAATGGGTAGATCCAAGGGGCCTTGCAAGTACTGAAAAACTGAGGGATTTTTTGCATGCCTTTCCTTCAGCATGGCATATACTGAGAATATGATTTTAGTATATTTTAGTGTTCTGATGTTAACCTTGGCAAAAAAAAAAAAAAAAGCACATCTTTCTGTATTGGAAATCTTGTTTAAAAACAGAATATTTTGTGTTTTGGATGGAAACTCTTCTAGCATTAGTCTAATTATGGAATGAAAAACAAATGCTCAAAAAGCATCCAATAATGAAGCAAGCATAAGTCTGTATTGACAATTTGTTGAGTTAAAAATTAAATTACAGCTGAAGATAATGCCTCGAATCTGTTCTTGAAGTCAACTTCATTAAAATTAGAATATTGTTACAGTAAAACAGGCGAATATATAATAAAAGATTCTTAACATAGAAGAAAACAATAGCACAGTTTTCGTAACTGTGAGAGACTGATTTCTGAAAGCGCGCTCACTTCTGCATTTCAGGCACTTCTGTAGTTGGTTCTGTCATCAGCACGTTAACAATGCATACAATCTGTAACAGATTTCAAGTGTGATGCATTGTGATGTGCAGGGGGATAAAATGGATTATAATAGCTCGTTTAGTTGTAATAGCTTGGTCTACACTTTGGCTGTTCAGGGTTTAAGGCAGCGATTTTAGTGGTCTTGGAGGGCATGCCTGAACTCAGCCTGTGGTGCTGCCCGTGCTCTGTGGGATCACAGAATGCAGCCCAAGACCACCCCATGTTTTCCGCCTGTCCTAGAACATAATCCCTCACCGCTTGCTGCTATGTTATGCACGACTGTTAGGACATCATTATCCCTGCTTACTTGTTTTGCTTTGGATAACAGATCATCCGCCACCTTTCCTCCAAGTTTTGAAGTCCACCTTGCTTTAATTTTGTAGAAGTGGTAATAGCCTTTTATGTTTTGATCTCTGTCATCTATGGATACTCTTTCTTCCAAGAAAGAAAAACAATTAAACCAGGTTGTTTTGGGTTTTGTATGTCTGCACCTGTACCTTTTAATCCCTCTTTTAATCCTAGGAAAGACATTTTTACAAGAGAGCAGTTTTAATAGTCCATAGAGCAGTTACTTAGAAATCCTAGAAAATTAGGAAATACCCTAATCCTGTCCACTGTGAATTAGGAATTAGTATTTGTGTGTTAGTGATAGATTGCTGGCTATAGTGTTGGATCAAAAGGTAGTGCTAAAGGAAGCATGCAGGCTAAGCAAAATAATGACCCCGATAGCAGTTTTAGGAGATAATAAGATAGCTATTTATTACTCCATCCCAGCTAAATTAGTTGGATTTTTTTCCTGAAGTTTAGACTGAGATTCATAGTCTTAATCCGTTGCAACGCTCCACACTAAAAATTGATGGAAAAGGAGCAAGTTTAATTCAGCGTTACACAGTGAGTATCAGTGAAAGTCACCAAATGTGTAAGGGAAAAGCAACAGGCTCTGAACAGTCTAATGCCAAATCCAGAAATGGGTCTGAACAGGGGACACAGTATGTGCCAAAGATTGTCAAGAAGTTAAGGGTTAGTCACCTTTACTACCTTTATTTTTTACTGATAGCTTTGCTCTTTGCTTGATAAATATACGCTCTTGTTTTGAAGATGCTCATTCTTTGTTACGGCGTGTTTTTATTCTGCTGCCAGTGTATTTATCAAAATGCTTGCGTGTGGCAAGCCCAGTCATATCTGTCACATAGATATCCAGCTATAGAGTTGGTGAACTGTATGATTTCCTTCAGAGAATAATGAAAGAAAGCAGAAAAGCTTGCCTCCTACTTCAGGGCAATAGATGATTTCAGCACAAGTTGCCTGTAATCATCACAGCACGCGTACTCAAATAAATAAATAAAACACCTAAAACATCCTGCTTCCCTCTGTCATTGGCGCTCAGCTGGCTTCAGCTGTCAGACCGACTTTAATATATCACAGGAACTGTCTTTGTCTTAGTGAATCACTGGGGAAGAGAAGGAGAATAACTGCGGGGGAGCTTGTTCTGACCTGAGGGCACCACTCTTAACACCTTAATCCTGTTGGATTTTCTGGTCATAATACCTGATTGCCATGTATCCTGAATCAGTGTCACTTGGAGCAGAATTCTTCTGGGAAAGTGAGAAGTAAGTCATGATTAGGATGTCAAAATTAAACTCTTTGTTTTCTCATTATGGATAGGTCTCATTTAGAATCCGAGAAATTGGATGCTACTTGCGAGCCTCAACTGCCTGCCCCGTGCTTCTCTGGTTAATCTGGTTTTGATAGGATACACGAGTATTGTTGAGAAAAACAAGCAAAACTACTTTGCAGGGCGGGTCCAGTTTGGGCCCCTTCCTTTATTCCTTGGGTGGATGATTTAACTTTTCTGAACCTTTCCTTACAATAGGGAAAGTTACTTCTTACAGCCCCTTCCTAAATGTTTTGAAGTTATTTTATGACTATGACTGCATGTCGCTGCTTTAAAAGTACAGGGGGGAAGCATTTATGTGGACGTAGCACAAACAAGATTGATTCTGCAGTATTATTTAATTGCTTAATCAGTCTTGGAATTCATCATGTAGAAATGCTTGAATTTCTTCATTTTTTAACCATTAGCTTTCTTAAAGGTGAACTGCTCTGTAAAACCCGTGATCATCTTCTGATGAAGCCCTACATAAGACAGCTGGGTAACACTGGTGCTTAGTTACCAATGACATGCATGCAGTGGTATTTCACATTTCTTGCAGAATCCTGTGTAGTTCTAAGCAAACTTGGGAAATGTTTTAAATTCGTGTTTGAGCAACTTTCAACAACTAGGTAGTTCTTGCAGCAGTGAATTGCATGAATTTGAAATGAAGTGTCTGAAAAAAGACTAATGAAGCCTGTGCCTTTCTGTGCTAGGGCTGATCTTCTGTGTAGGTTGTCTGACATTTAACATGTGAATAAGCCTTTCATTCAAGGTATTCAAGGCTATCAAGGTATTGTTAAAGAGTGTCTTTTTTATTTAGCCATCGGTTTTCATGTAACATCCTCTACCCTCTATAAACTTTGATTGCTGTTGGCCAGCAGATCCAAAATTTAGTGCAAGGGAGGGAAACGGTACAATCATACCTTATTTTAGGAAACTAAAAAATACAAAATACTTGCATTGAGACAGTACATAGGATGTACCTGTCTTGCAAGATCCTACGGATCACACATGGAATTTCATTTCTTTGCTCTGCTGTTGTCTGTTCTTTGTAATATAAGCAGTAAGAAGGCAGATAGTTACTTCCCAGTGGTTATATTTAAATTATTTATTTTCTTCTGCATGTATTGTTTTAGATAGAAGTAGTTTTTCTAGCTATGATGAACAGATAGACAAATCTAGCCTCTGATTTTATTCATGGCAGATTACTGAGAGATTGCCAGTTAAGCTTTTCTGTAAATCCTGTATGATTTAAAGTTCTATGACTAACGTAGTTAAGTTCCTTTTTAACTTGCAATTCATACCACAGTAGATGCATCAAAAGCTCTAGATGCAGAGGCAATGTTGCTAAAATATAGCTGGAGGAAAAATACTGAGCAATACACCCTACTAGTGAAACTGCATTGAGCTTAGTAACGTGCAGCAATGTCAAAATACTGCCAGCTCATTCAGATATGATCCTCAATAAAAGTCATTAACTCACTGCCTGTTGTTGCAGTCTTTAGTCGTAGCAAGAGAGCATTTGTAGCCAATGCTTTCCAACAAGAAGAGTGATGAAGAGTGCTGCGGTGTGGCCTCCCCTGAGGAATTACGAATGTCTTGAAAAGACTTTCCCTCCAAGGCCTCTTTGACAACTCGTGCTCTATCACCTACCAACAAGCACGATGGAAAAGCACAGAAAGTACTGTCTTTCACATTCAGTAGTCCTGATGAAGAAGCAGGTGAGGTCAGAAAAACTGTTTCGAACTGTTTGTTTTCCAGTCTCTCGAGTGCTTGCATTTAGCAGCTGCAGTCAGAGCTCGCATGCTTCAGACAGCTGCAAAAATGAGGTTCTTGGAATAAAAAATGAAGGTGGCCATCACAGTGCCTGCCTTTGCTTAGGAAGAGTTAGATGTGGTGCCACAGTGATGGTCCAGATAAATTTGAAACTAAAGCATGTGGAGAGTCAGGAGTTTTCCCGCTAGACTGACAAATCAGCCTGCTGTTTGGGGACCTCTCTTGAAATTCCCTGGTAAAAACTCTGAGAAAGATATATCTGACATTTTGCTGCTTTTAAAGACTGGA